GTGATTTGGTACAAATTTTTTTTCATTTCATTTATGTAGTATTTGATATTATAGCAGGACTAAGTTAAGCTTAAAAGTAAAAATGGCAGGAGATCCCAGACCCGTGTTATGCTCATCTGGCTCAATGTGGGAGCTCAGGGACGCGGCTGATGTCCCTGACTCCTACACATGCAGGAAGTGTGTCCAGCTGCAGCTCTTGTTAGACCGCATGACGGCTCTGGAGATGCGGATGGACTCACTTTGGAGCATCGACGATGCTGAGGAAGTCGTGGATAGCACGTTCAGCAAATTGGTCACACCGCAGATTAGGATCGCTGAGGGAGAAAGGGAATGGGTGACCAAAAGGCAGAAAGAAAGGAGGGCAGTGCAGGCACCTCTGCGGTCATCTCCCTCCAAAACAGGTATACCGTTTTGGATACTGTTGGGGGAGATAGCTCACCAGGGGAAGGCAGCAGTAGCCAGGTTCATGGCACCGTGGCTGGCTCTGCTGTACAGAAGGGCGGGAAAAAGAGTGCAAGGGCTATAGTCATAGGGGATTTGATTGTAAGGGGAGTAGATAGGCGGTTCTGTGGCCGAAAATGAGACTCCCGAATGGTATGTTGCCTCCCAGGTGCACGGGTCAGGGATGTCTCAGATTGACTGCAGGACATTCTGAAGGGGGAGGGTGAACAGCCAGCTATCGTGGTGCATATAGGCACCAATGATATAGGTAAAAAACGGGATGAGGTCCTACAAGCTGAATTGAGGGAGTTAGGAGCCAAGTTAAAAAGTAGGACCTCAGAGGCAGTAATCTCAGGATTGCTACCAGTGCCACGTGCTATTCAGAGTAGAAGTGAAAGAATAGGCAGGATAAATGAGTGGCTTGAGAGATGGTGCAGGAGGGAAGGGTTCAGATTTTTGGGACATTAGGACCGGTTCTGGGGGAGGTGGGACTATTACAAATCGGACGGTCTACACCTGGGCAGGACTGGAACCAATGTCCTAGAGGGTGCTTTTGCTAACGCTGCTGGGGAGGGTTTAAACTAATGTGGCAGGGGGATGGGAACAAAATGCAGAGGTTAGTGGACAGTAAGGAGGTAGTAACTAAAGCCTGTAAGGAACTAGATAATGAAGTCAGTGTGACTAAGGGGAAGAGTAGGCAGAGAGCAGATGATGAACGCAGAGGGACAGGTGGTCTGAGGTGCATTTGTTTTAATGCGAGAAGTGTAGTAGGTAAGGCAGATGAACTTAGGGCTTGGATTAGTACCTGGGAGTATGATGTTATTGTTATTACTGAGACTTGGTTGAGGGAAGGGCAAGATTGGCAAGTAAATATCCCAGGATATAGATGCTTCAGGCGGGATAGAGAGGGTGGTAAAAGGAAGAGTTGCATTACTGGTCAAAGAGGATATCACAGCTGTGCTGAAGGAGGGCACTATGGAGAACTCCAGCAGTGAAGCAATATGGGCAGAGTTCAGAAATAGGAAGGGTGCGGTAACAATGTTGGGGCTGTACTACAGGCCTCCCAACAGCGAGTGTGAGATAGAGGCACAAATATGTCGACAGATTATGGAAAGATGGAGAAGCAACAGGGTGGTGGTGATGGGAGATTTTAATTTTCCCAAAATTGACTGGGATTCACTTAGTGTTAGGGGTTTAGATGGAGCAGAATTTGTAAGGAGCATCCAGGAGGGTTTTCTAGAGCAGTATGTAAGTAGTCCAACTCGGGAAGGGGCCATACTGGACCTGGTGTTGGGGAATGAGCCCGGGCAGGTGGTTGAAGTTTCAGTAGGGGATTACTTTGGGAAGTGATCACAATTCCGTAAGTTTTAGAATACTGATGGACAAAGACGAGAGTGATCCTAAAGGAAGAGTGCTGAACTGAGGGAAGGCCAACTATAGCAACGTTTGACAGGAGCTGGGGAATGTGGATTGGGAGCAGCTGTTTGAGGGTAAATCCATATTTGATATGTGGGAGGCTTTTAAAGATAGGTTGATTAGAATGCAGGACAGACATGTCCCTGTGAAAATGAGGGATAGAAAGGGCAAGATTAGGGAACCATGGATGACAGGTGAAATTGTGAGACTAGCAAAGAGGAAAAAGGAAGCATACATAAGGTCTAGGCGACTGAAAGCAGACAAAGCTTTGGAAGAATATCGGAAAAGTAGGACCAATCTGAAATGAGGAATTAAGAGGGCTAAAAGGGGTCATGAAATATCTTGAGCAAACAGGGTTAAGGAAAATCCCAAAGCCTTTTATTCATACATAAGGAGCAAGAGGGTAACTAGAGAAAGGGTTGGCCCACTTAAGGACAAAGGAGGGAAGTTATGCAAGGAGTCAGAGAAAATGAGTGAGATTCTTAATGAGTACTTTGCATCGGTATTCACTGAGGAGAGGGACATGACGGATGTTGAGGTTAGGGATAGATGTTTGATTACTCTAGGTCAAGTCGGCATAAGGGGGGTCTGGGGGGGGGGGGGGGAAGTGTTGGGTATTCTAAAAGGCATTAGGGTGGACAAGTCCCCAGGTCCAGATGGGATCTATCCCAGGTTACTGAGGGAAGCGAGAGAGGAAATAGCTGGGGCCTTAACAGATATCTTTGCAGCATCCTTGAGCACGGGTGAGGTCCCAGAGGACTGGAGAATTGCTAATGTTGTCCCCTTGTTTAAGAAGGGTAGCAAGGATAATCCAGGTAATTATAGACCGGTGAGCCTGACGTCAGTGGTGGGGAAGCTGCTGGAGAAGATACTGAGGGATAGGATCTATTTACATTTGGAAGAAAATGGGCTTATTAGTGATAGGCAGCATGGTTTTGTGCAGGGAAGGTCATGTCTTACCAACATGATAGAATTCTTTGAGGAAGTGACAAAGTTGATAGATGAGGGAAGGGCTGTGGATGTCATATATATGGACTTCAGTAAGGCATTTGATAAGGTTCCCCAGGGTAGGCTGATGGAGGAAGTGAAGTCGCATGGGGTCCAGGGTGTACTAGCTAGATGGATAGAGAACTGGCTGGGCAACAGGAGACAGAGAGTTGTAGTGGAAGGGAGTTTCTCAAAATGGAGAACTGTGACCAGTGGTGTTCCACAGGGATCCATGTTGGGACCACTGTTGTTTGTGATATACATAAATGATCTGAAGGAAGGTATGGATGGTCTGATTAGCAAGTTTGCAGATGACACTAAGATTGGTGGAGTAGCAGATAGTGAAGGAGACTGTCGGAGAATGCAGCAGAAGAAAGATAGATTGAAGAGTTGGGCGGAGAAATGGCAGATGGAGTTCAATCCAGGCAAATGCGAGGTGATGCATTTTGGAAGATCCAATTCAAGAGCGAACTATACGATAAATGGAAAGGCCCTGGGGAAAATTGACGCACAGAGAGATCTGGGTGTTCAGGTCCATTGTACCCTGAAGGTGGCAACGCAGGTCGATAGAGTGGTCAAGAAGGCATACGGCATGCTTTCATTCATCGGACGGGGTACTGAGTACAAGAGTTGGCAGGTCATGTTACAGTTGCATAGGACTTTGGTTCGACCACATTTGAAATACTGCGTACAGTTCTGGTCGCCACATTACCAAAAGGATGGGGATGCTTTGGAGAGGGTGCAGAGGAGGTTCACCAGGATGTTGCCTGGTATGGAGGGCGCTAGCTATGGAGAGAGGTTGAGTAGATTAGGATTATTTACAGTAGAAAGACGGAGGTTGAGGGGGGACCTGATTGAGGTCTACAAAATCATGAGAAGTATAGACAGGGTAGATAGCAAGAAGCTTTTTCCCAGAGTGGGGGACTCAATTACTAGGAGTCATGATTTCAAGGTGAGAGGCGAAAAGTTTAAGAGAGATATGCGTGGAAAGTTCTTTACGCAGAGGGTGGTGAGTGCCTGGAACGCGTTGCCAGCGGAGGTCGTAGAGGTGGGCACGATAGCGTCATCTGAGATGTATCTAGACAGATACATGAATGGGCAGGGAGCAGAGGGATACAGATCCTTGGAAAATAGGCGACAGGTTTAGATAGAGGATCTGGATCAGCGCAGGCTTGGAGGGCCGAAGGACCTGTTCCTGTGCTGTAATTTTCTTTGTTCTTTGAAATACTTATTAGGATTCCTCCCCCAAATCAACATTTTTGCCAATGGTTCATCAGAAAGCTCGGCCCCTTTAATAGAACGAACCAGCACCCTGGGACTACAACAACCAGAAACCATCGCAAGCTGTGCGCAAGCTCAGTAAACCCTGTCTATAGTAAAGACGTCACGTCTCGCATATATTTAGTAATGGCATTTCGCTTAACAGCACAAAAAAAATTTATAAAACTGAAAGCTTTTGAGCAGATAGGTGGAGTAAGATGCCATACATTTGAACAATACTCCATTCATTGTGGCACTTATGCTTTTACGAACATGTACATTACTACAGGAACATTGCTAAACAAAGCTGTCCTCACAGTTCTTACAGGCACTGTGTAAAATTAAAGGACAATTAACAATATTCAATTAAAATATACTTCCAAATTGCACAGTGAAATATCCAGTGAATTATAACTCCAGTCTGCAGCTTCCCCTAATTGCAGCGGGACTGCAAATTGCAACAAACGACAGTAAAACTTGTCAAAATATATCAATTTTCCTGACGTTTTGTTTTTAAAATTTTATTTCGACTGATTAATGCTTCTCGATTGGGTTTTTAGACGGTGGCAATCTTGATTCGAACGCAGCCATAAATACAGCCTTGCATTTCTGATACCCGCAATCTAAATATTCAGAACAATTTGAGTACATGCAATTTTCAGACCGAATTTGAGCAGAACTTGCTTAAAATTCCTTGCGAAATAGACACCGTAAAAATACTGCAATTATGAGCAAAAAAAATGTTGTTAGCATAATTAATCAATGTAATTATTACTCGTGTTGTATTAATTGGTACGTGAAGCGTAGCAGTTGGGGGGGGAGGGGGTGGCATCTCTGCAGTGAGGTGAAGATGATTTTTATGCATCATATTTTGCGGGAAGGGTGCATGGACTTACCTGCATTGCACCGGTGTCACGGAGCTTGCATCTCTTTCTCTCGCCTATTTAACACAGGTTCTGATACAGGGTCAGAAATACAGTCACGTAATGCACTGCGCAGAGTCTGGTGCAAGCACAGAAGGGAGGGCGAAAGACACATCTAAACGAAAGTTGATTTTTTTTTTCTTTTTTTTATGAAAAGTAACGCACAGCACCACACAGAGCACAGGAGGGAGTAGAACAGGTCGAGTGGTGTAAAAGCTGAATAGATGTAAGAGCTCACCAGATTTATGATTATTTTTAATTTAAAGTTTTCCCAATTCTTTTCGTAAACTGAACAGGTCACATCTAGCCATCATTGTATGGTGCCTTCCCATCAAATGAGACAGTCATAACAAATTGCATTTTTACGACCCCTCCCCCACGACTTTTTAATCCCGATCCGATAGCCAGTGAGGTACTGCAGTCATTGTTGTGCAGAATAAAATTTATACAGAGCCAAGTGCCCCCAAGTAGCAATGAGATAAATGATTGATTTAGCTGTGATATAAATATCGACCAGGACACCGAGAACTCCACTATTCTTCTTTAAGCAGCACCTTTTGGGTCAACTTGAAGTGGTCAAAGTCTCATCTGAAGGCATCTCTACACTACTGCACTCTTTCCATTGTATTTCACTGTCAACCGAGATTATACAAACATGTCTCAAGAGTGGGATTTCAACTCTTGACATCTTGATTTCAACATCTTGACTCCGAGGTAAAATGCTTCCCTGAATGAGGGATGCAATGTCATGATGCGACAATATAAAATACCAAAATGAGCCTGATTGGACTGAGTCATTTTTATTCCTGTTCTTATTTGATTGATTTATTGTCATGTGTACTTGTTACAAAGACAGTGAAAAGTGTCATATGATGTTGCAACTTGCTGGCGCCATCTTAAAACACAGAAATAAACCAAGACATAGAATTATAAATGTAGAGAAATAAACAGATAAAGTTAAAAGTTCAACATTACAGTCCTTCTTGTTAAGTGCTTAGCCCTGGGCCTGGATCTGGGCTTTTCCACCCCAGTGCTAAGACCAACGCCAGCACTAAGCAGTGGACCAGCCTTGAGTCCCTTTGCCACGCCACTGGAGCAGAGTTGCCATTCTTTGGTGCCATCTTGCTTCCACTGAACCCACCACCATGAGTCCGCGCTGGGGTGATCTCACAAATGCAACTGCTGCTGAAGCTTCTGGGTCCCGCACCAGGCACTGAGCCCAAACTTGGTTCCCTCCACCACCTCCGGGAACATGCCTTGCATACAATGCACTGGACACCTCAATGCCACTGATGCCATCCAAGTTCTCCCCAAGAAGGTAAGTAAAATTAAGAGCAAAAGAAAACCAAGAAAAGGGAAAAGTGGACAGAGCAGATGAGCCCTGGGCTCCTGAGCTCAGAAGCCCAATGCTGCACTGCTTACTCCGTTACCATCTTGAACGGAAATTTGGTATTGGACATGTTCTTTCAACCTATTATCCTCAGGCTCCAATTATCCAGTAGCAAAATCTGCCCTATTGGCTTTTAGTGTAGGATACTGAATGCACTGATTGAATGATTTTTATCAAGAATAATTTTGGATTGGTTGCTGAATCTGTGACAGTAAATTTATAGATTCAAATCCAGCTACAGAACAAAAGGACATAGTTAAGGTGGTGTTCCAAAACTTTGGATAGAAATGCAGTCATGTACAAATGTCTGTTCTGGTTTGTTGTAATCATGTGACTTTTACCAGGCAGTACACATCTTGGAAGGTAGATATCTTCAGTTTCAATTCAATAAAGTCCTCATGTTGAACACAAAGCACAACATGGCATCAGACTAGATGCTGAGCTGACTGTCCAAAGCTGATATGAAAATAACAGCTGAGAGCTCTGTGCTGCCACTGAAAAAAAAATCACAGTGAAAACACTGCTTAAGGGAAAATAGCTGCAGCTTTTCCCCAGTCAGCTCCTGCTCAAATAGAGTCATAAAGTTGTCCAACATGGAACAGACCCTTTGGTCCAACGTGTCCATGCTGACCAGATATCTTAAATTAATCTAGTCCCATTTGCCCCAGATTCCTCTAAATCCTTCCTATTCATGTACCAATCCAGCTGCCTTTTAAATGTTGTAATTGTACCAGCCTCCACCACTTCCTTGGGCAGCCCTTTCCAAACATGCACCACCCTCTGCATGAAAATGGTACCTATGACTGGAAAATCGGCTAGAACTGTGAATTCTTCCACACACAATGGCAGAATTTTGAAATATCTACACATTTGTTGAGCAAACCAGAATGAATACAACTTGCTACACTTTTAACAATTGTGGGAAGAGACTATTTCAAAATATATTTCACCCTAAATCTATTTGAAGAGCAGAAAAAAACGCATTGCAGAATTTTTTGATGCTTTGAAGGCATGTGCTCAGCCCCACGTGAACACATAGGAATAGTACAAATTCAATACTAAGGACAAACTGAAAAAGAGTGCATCAATCAATATGTAACATAATGAATGCATCTTGCAGAAACCTGTGAATTTGCATAATTAAAGGATAAGCGAATTAGAGACAGGATTCTATTGGGAATATGGGATCCAAAAGTAAAAGCATGCCTGCTGAAAGAAGACAAACATTCAGTTAGGAATGCAACTGACTCGTGCAGAAGAGCTGAGTTGGGAATCAATTGATGGCGCATATTCATGGCAGAACATACCGGGTGGTACATTATGCTGACAGATATTCCAGACACAGAGCACTATAATCACAGACATTGGATAAGATGCAAATACTGAGGAAAATATCATGCAAAAGAGAAAAGGGCTTGTACATTGGACAACAGTATTCTCATTGCAAAAAGCTGAACAATTGTTGCACACAAGTCTATGGCAAAGAAGATTCACAACAAGCAGGTACAGATGGCCACTGGAGAAATAGCAGCTGAAGATTCTGATGAATCACATTATACCATACAATGACAGAGACAACAAGGTGTAGAGCTGGATGAAAACAGCAGGCCAAGCAGCATCAGAGGAGCGGGAAGGCTGACGTTTCGGGCCTAGACCCTTCTTCAGAAATGGCCATACGATGGATTGTTGATTCATTAAGTTGATAGGTGAGACATGTTTTGTGACTGTTGGAATGAGGAATGCAGAAGGAGAACATCAGGTCAATATAAAATGTCAGATACACGTTGGCGTGTTATGCAGTGTCATGACATTCACAGACCTGTGAAAAGTAGCTGAACATGGCAATCCAAAAATTAAATCTTCAGAAGGAAGATTAAGACTAACAATGGCACCAAGCTCATACTAAAAGGATAGTTTACTCTGCAAACCCATTGCGATAACTTGAACAAGGATCTGGAGTTCCATACAATAGATGGCAAGCAAATGCCACTCATCTGGCTGGAGCAAGAATAAAGCTTGGAATGGTAACACTCAATGTACCAGAAGAGATTTGTAATATGTCATAGCACACAAAACCATTACCATGGAACATATCTTAGATGACACGTACAAAGACGTATTGACAAGGTTAGGGTGGCTTTCAAGAGAATATTATCTCAAAATAATTAAGAAAGCAAGAACAATCCAACATCTGTCGAGGAAAACTCCATCAGCCCTGAAGCCCAGCCTGAAAGATGACAGAAGAGCTGGAAAAGAAGGGAGTAATCAAGAAAGTGACAACTCTTACAGGTTGGATTAGCAGCCTGGCAACAGTGAAACAATCTGGAAAACTGGCAGTATGCATTGAGCCAAAGATTCTTCATAGAAGTGTGAGGAGGTTTCACTATTTCATGTCAACAATTGAAGGAATTTTGCCACAACTTTCAGGGGTAAAAATCTTCAGCACTCTAGACGTGAAGGATAGTTATTGGCAAGTGAAGCTAGATGAAAACTGTAGCTTCATAACTAGATTCTAAATGCCTTACACAAAATACAGATGATTGCACATGCCTTTTGGCATTTCCATTGCTCCAGAAGAATATCAACACAGCCGAACCTGAAGTTGCCTTGAGGAAAAAATTAGATTTAAGGATGCCCAAAGTCTCTGTACTTACAGCAAACAACCTTTGCCTGGACCCCTAAAAGTGAGAAAGTGATGGAGAAACTCAGCAGCTTTGGTAACATCTGTGGAGAGAGGAACAGAGTAAACATTTCAAGTCTGGTGACCCTTCTTCAGATATCAGGCATGCCGAGTTTCTCCAGCAATTTCTGTTTTTGACTGTTTGAGATTTCCAGCATCCGCAGTTCTCTGTTACCTTAAAATTGAGAGCTGTATCAATAATGCAGCAATCAATACATGCAAATGTAGTGCAATGATCTATTGGATTTCTTAACTATTTGGCAAAATCCTTGGCCAATTTGTCATTGGAGTGTGAACAATTACTCCAACTCACTGCTCAGGATGCACAGCAGCATTGAAACATGGGGCAAGAAGCAACATTCGTTAAAATCAAGCAACTAGCAATGACAACACCAGTGCTGAAATACTACATCATAAATGATAATGTCACCTTGCAGTGAGACACCAGCGAGACAGGACTTCGAGCAATCTGAACGCAGTGAGGTCAACTAATTCAATTTGCATTCAGGGCACTAACACAAACAGAAAGACATTACATCCAGATTGAGAAAGAGTGCCTAGTCATTGTGAAACATGTTCATCAATACCTACTTGGAAGAGAAAAAGTGATAATCAAGTCTGATTATGAGCTACTTCAAAGCATCTCACGTTGTACCTACCTGCTCCAAAGTGTCTGCAACGAACATTACTCCAGCTGCAGAGCTATCATCTGGATGTTTAAATGCAACAAGATCTAGACAATAATCCAGGCTTGGGCTGACAAGTGGCAAGTAACCACACAAATTCCAGCCAATGATTATTTCCAAAAGAGACTATCTAACCATCACCCCATGACATTCAATGGTGTTACCATTACTGAATCTCTGCTATCAAAATTCTCGGGGTTGCCATTGACCAGAAACTCAACTGGATTCAACACACAAATATAGTGGCTACAAGAGCAGGTCAGAGGCTAGGAATACTGTCGTAAGTAATGCAATTCCTGACTCCCCAAAGTCTGTTCATCATCTACAAGGTACAAATCAGAAGTGCGATGGAACACTCCCCAGTTG